AAGAGTTGCATGCGCCCCTAATAAACTGATGAAATGAAAACAATTATTTTGACAAAATATTGTCCCATTACATTAATTGTTCAATAAATAGTTCTTACCTTTTGGTATGGAAAAAAAAAGTGAGACTGCACTTCAGACATCAGATCAGTGGGGTTCAGTCTCGGGATAAAGGCCTTCATGCTTGGTAGGTGAGCAGGGAAGAGGGACGCTCTTGAAAGAGGTGGACTACCACGGGGGCTGCAACAATAGGCTCAAACTTCATGGTGGGGCCGGGGCAGGACGAGGCTGTCTCATTCTGCTGTCTGTGGGGTTGCTCAGCCAGAACCCCCTTGGTGGCACCTATCACCTTACTCTACACAGCAATTCTTCAAGTGTCGGCTCCTTCTCCTATCAGAGCTCTGCCTGAGCAATACTCACTTCACACTTCCTTCTCCCATGGCCCTCGAAGCACATGCCTTCCTGGGAGCTGTGATCTAAAGTTTTCTAAAAGACTCTATCATTATTTTGCCTAGTCTGAATTTATTGACCCTCTTCTGTGCCCCCACAATAGCCTATGCTAATGACTTTCACAGCATTCACGACTGTTATAGTTGCTGGCTTCATGATTGGCTCCGCTCACTAGTAGCTATACACTTTGGGACGTTAGCTACCTTACAGTCTATACTCTTGTTCTCACAGTCCCTGGACCAGGAGTGTGCGTAACCCAGCTGCTGAAATAGTTACGTCTGTTGCCGTCAAGCCCATTCCCACTCTCGTGACCGGGTAGGAGACAGAGGTGCTCTGCAGGCTCCCGAAGGCCGTGCTTCTCTGGGGAAGAAGACTGCTTTGCCCTTCTCCCACAGAGTGGCTAGAGGGTTCAAACTGCTAAACATTCTGCTGGCAGCTGAATGTGCCATGCTGCCAGTGTGGCTTATATAAACAGGCACAGATACATGTTGTTGGCAGTAATGACAGCTAGTATTATGAAGTGATTACCATGTCTGTGCATGTGTATTGTCACAACAACCCTAAAGGAGGAAACACGTTTTTTTTTTTTTTTGGACTGACCAAAGTGAGGTGCCGAGAGAGGATTTTGCCCAACACCACAGGAAGGTCCAAATGAGGCTATCTGGCTCCAGAACTCATGTTTGTTTGTTTTTTGTTTTTAATGGATGCATTACAAAATTCACTCTTACTACTAAGTGGATGCCTGCCCCTCCCCCGAGAATT